TAACTTGGTTTCCACCATAAAGGGAACAAGCAGCCATTTCTCCTCACTATGACTTGTATGTGTTGACCCAATGATTGTTTTGATTGTTATTCTTTTTATGAAAGTTTAGACACTGAGACTAGTTTGGTGTTGTCCTTACCAAAAATTATGAAAACTGAAAATAACCCCTTCACGAGGACACCTCTTGCTGTTAATATTATTGCCTAATTACATATGAAGTTATATTTCATAATGTGGTAATAACCTGAGCTCTCAACAACTTTCTTGTGAATTAAGTATATTCACAGTAATGGAATGAAAACAAAGTCTATAAATCCACAGTGAACAATATTATTTACTTCTAGCAAACAACACATGATTATTCTGTTTGGATTCTCCCTCTCAGAATGGTAACCTGTATGATTGATTCTTGATTTCTTAAAATACATTGTGATTTCAAAACTCAAAATACATGCAGTATTTGTAAAAACCATAATATTGAAAATTTATAAGCTCTCAAGATTTTCTTCCTACTGGATGGTGAAATTATCTATAATACGGCAGAAATTCTATGTTTTAATATACACAGAAATAAAAAGTACTATTTCAAAATGCAGTGTTAAATAACATAAACTCTCTGGTGGTAAAACACATAAGTCACTCTTCCCAAAGCTATCCTTTGTATTGCTGATTTTTCCCACTCTATTTTTGATATTTGATTAGCTGTATTTTGTTAACTATTGGCTACAATGTAAGCACTGTTACTTCTGAGTTTTTATTTCCAATGGTGCGTGGATTAAATAAATTACTCAGTCCATGTTAGTTTAGGCCAAGTGATGGGCTGTGTCACAAGCTAATGGCTGCAAATTTAAGTCAGTAAATATTTTTCTCGGTATTATTATGTTGTTCTGTTTTGTTTCACTAAAGCAACCGCAGTTTCTGAAACAGATCTCCTAGTGGCTCAGTGACACATATTTGTTAGAACTGAAATTACACAGCCTGCAGTCATGAAAAAGTGGCAGGGTAGCAAGGGTTGTCCTCATGATTTACATACTGTTTAGAATAGCACTTCATAGTTGTATGACCCCAGAGTCAGAACAGCAGAGCAGTTACTGCTTGCCATAGGATGCAGGAAAAGGGGTTCTTGTGATTCAGAATTTATTTTCAGCAAATCTTGAAAAGGAAAAAGAGCAAAACCTTTAAACACAACAAATTAAGTACTATGTGTTTAAAGCTTGAGACTGCTTTCCACTTCAGTATTTTTTTTTTTTCAGGCTGGATTTAGATTTATTTAATGTTGTGTCAGTCCCTTTTGAGTTTGGATTAAGAGACTGGTTCTCAAGGGCAGGGTGCCAGGCCCAATTTAGCATTAGTGAGCTCATGCTATTCTGGCTAATGAAGCCACTGATTGAATAATCACAAGGGACTAGCAGAATCTGATGTGCTCTCCCTGATTAGATAAAATTTGTCAAAGAGCCACTACATATCTATTTGTGGGACCAAGAACATATACCCGGTGCACTGCAACACTGAGTAGCACGCTGAGCTGATGGCCCTCCTCTCTGTTTCTACCCACTCCTTGTCCATTCTTTCCATAGGCTCGGGTGACCCGCTCTTCCGCCTCTGACTGAGTTTGTCAACAGGAGTCGTGCGGAGGAGGAGAAAGTTGAGGAGAAAGTTTAGGAGCCGGTGTCCCTTGCTGTCTCCATGCAGCTTGAATATGAAGGTGTGAATTCATCAACTCCTCCTCAGGTCCATGGACAGAGAGGGCTTCTTTTTCCCTGAGTGTCTCAGCGTATGCTCTCTTCCCCTCACCTTGCCCATTCAGCGGTAGTCTCTTAAAGAAATTCTCTTCATTAAATTCCAGAATACAGTCTACCTCCCATCTGGATTGTAGCTATACACGTACACAAAGCAAGCCAGACGATTATTTCATGAATCCCTGAACCTGCAAATTATAGTTATCTACTCAGTATCTTCAAACTATTTCTGTAAAGTTTACTCAGTGACTTCAGTCTCAAAGTGATTTTGAAAAATGTAAATAAAAGCAAATATTTAAACATAACGCTATTCCTTATCTCATTGTGGTTCAGAAGCCCATTGGACAGAATTCTAGGGTGGCATTTCCATCATCTGGTACTTTCTACTTGCACATTTTGTTTTGTTCCCTGTCTCTGTCTGTAAAGTATAATTCAGAAGCTTATAAAAGGTATAATCAACAAAATCCTAGTAATCCAGATAATTCAGCACATAAGTATGTAAAATGACTCATCTTTCTGAAAAATAAAAATTCAGCAGTTACTAAACATGCTTGTAAAAAGCCCACTGGAACATTTAACGTTCCTATGATAATAACACACCATTTGTAGGTGACTTTTGCAATGCTGGGGATGGAATCCAGGGCCTCCAGCATGCTGGGCAAATGCTCTACCACAGAGCTAAATCCCCAGCCCTGTAGGTGACTTCTGAATTCACACTGCAGGGAAACAAAAGTGAACACTAAAAATTATTTCCCTTTCACTTAGATGTAACAGATCTTCTCAACTAAGAAAGCCTGTTATTACCATTTGACTTACAGGAAAAAAATCATGTATGTATTCCCTCTGTTTTATTTTTTTTAGTATTTATCTTTTCTAGTCTATTATTTTCTATTATTTTATCTCCTCCTTACTTTTATCATTTCTGTCCTATTTTCTTTTATTTATTTGTCTCTAAGATTTCCCTAAGCCAAGTATAATATTCCTTTATTTTAAAAATAAAAACTTAAACTTACTAAGGTAGTTGCTAATGATGAAATTTTCTTGCTTTCTAAATTGTATGTAATTTTCTTTTTCTGCTTTCCTTTTGATTCAGTAAACATCCAGAACTATATTTCCTGTTTTTAATGAGGTCATATTTTTTGCTTATTATTTTCTTCTATTCTAGTGAACTATAATCCAAGAGTGTAGCCTTTCTATATAATAGCCTTTTTCTTCCCATATCTGAACAATTTTCCCTGAATATGTGAAAAATTTACAATGTCTCTCAATGGATAAAACTTAAAAATGTATTTGATATATTAATTTAATTTTATAATTTTGTTTTACTTTTTTCAGCTTTAATTGAGTTTATTGGTACATTTTAGGGATACAGTACAGTTACATTCATTGTTGGGATCTTGTACCTCTACATGACAAGTCTTGATTCTCATTTTTTCCCCTTACCTCTGCCCTCCCTTCACCCCCTCCTCCCCTCCCCATCTACAAACACTTTATTTTCATCTTTAAATTATAACTGTTTGCAGCTCTTTCATTGAGTAGTCTGTCTAAATGTGCACTTAAATATCCACTGTAATATTTTTCACCAACTTCTTAATTTTTGTCTGAGTATCAGAGTCTATGTTATTTGGCCTCTTTATGTTCCTTAGATTTATCGCTGCTTTATAAGTTAAAATTGTTTTGCCCCTTAACTCCTTTCTGTGGCCATGATTAGTGTGTTTTTAACTCAAAGTCTACTTCACCCACATCACTTTTCCTTTTCCACTGTTTGCATTCACTGCATTTGCTGTTGGCATTTTTTCTTGTCTTTTCATTTTAACATTTATCTCACTAAATGTGTTTCTTATAAATATTATAAGTTTTTAATCTTTTAAACTACACGTTCAAATTGTTATTTTTATATAAAATAATTAAATGTGCTTACCCACAGATCAATATACTTAAGCCTTCTGTCTTGCTTCTGTTTTATTTTACTCTTCTACTCTTTCCTTTTGTATTTTCTTCTTATTAAAGTTTATACTTATCCTAAATTCATAATCAAGTGTACTGTATTATTTATATAAAAACTGAGATATCTGCCACCTTCTTCCCTGGAAGACATACAATTCTGTCTGTGCTTTCCTTACTGTCTAATAAACTAGGTACATCTGTTTCAAATATTCCTTCATTGCATTTCCACTATACCTTATCTTACCAGAGAAACATATTTAATATCTCTGAAGGAGTTTTATATTTTTAAATATAAAGTCTGGAGAACTAGCATAATACCAATCATGCATCTTTTGAAGTTTTACTGAAGGGACGTATATGAACTTAAATAAATCTGAATATAATAAGTAATATTATCCAAAGAATAGTAGTATTAAGATATTATGGAGAAAATGGGCTAGTATGCAAATGAAATAGTTTGCAAGATGACTCTATTCTCACAATTACATCTTCTTTTTACATGGCAAAATTGATGTCTATTTCAGGAAATTTCATTTAAGTTAAGGTCTAAGATGCTCCACAGATTTTTGGGTGCTATAAATTCTGATTTAATTTTTAACCTCTTGTGGAATTGTGTTAATTCTATAGAAATTTCTGATCTATTAAAAAGAGGCTCATCTTAATCCCTAACTTTTATTTCTACACTTCAACCACTCTGGTTGAAAAATACCTTATTAAGTGAAGATAAGGAAATCTTTATATATTCTATTGGATTAATAGTGTTATGCTTGGAACATACAAGGTTAAAAATAGAAACACAAGAAGTTACTGCATGTTACTGTATTAAAGGACTAAATAGTTCATTATATATATATTTTTTTCAATTCTTTTGTATTTTTTATAACATTGCAGATTTTTAAGATCTGTGCCATTAATGATCAATGTGAGAAAAGCAATACTTTAAACTTTTAACTTTAAGGAAAATATTTTGTTAAGTATTTTGTTGATTAAATAATTATATGAGTGTTCATAAATGTGTGACTTTAGATGCTGAAAATGTTGGAAAAATCTAGAGATGTCAAGTGCTAACTGGAAGTTATAATTTCTGTTATAGTTTATTCACACCAGAGAAACTATTTGGTATTTACACATGTTATAATTTAATGGACGTCAGGGTGGGGCAATAGGGAGAGAGCAGCAGAAAACAGAAAGAGTGGATAAAGTAAGCATGACACATCTTGAGGCCTACGGTGGTTTGTGGTTCAATTAAATCAGGAAATGTACGACACAATACGCCACACTTTGCAGTTTCTGTGGGGCTGCCATCTGACTTACTTTCACCTGTCGCATAATCCTGTGGGTCAAGTATTCCTGACTCCTGTAGTGACCGAATGCAGGAATCCACCAGCTCCAAGCCTGTGGTCAGCTCATCTTCAATATCTTTTTGACCATCTGAAAAATAACATTTTAAGGGGGTGAGCAAAACCACAGGATAAGTTAATACAAAAGCTTCAGGTTAGCCGTTCATAACCAGAAGTATCCTGACCAAATACAGTAGTAATTCTGGAAAACTAAGATTGAAGCCAAGGTCTGATAATTTCACAGACTCTTGGACAACATAAAATCACTAGGTAAATAAGAGAACTGAATTGCCCACAAATGGTGAACATTATGACAATTTCACTGTCATTTTTTTTCGTATCCAATTTGATGTCTTTCTCTAAAGCTCATAGGAAAACTGATCAGCAGATACAGTGGATGTAAGTGTAAGTAACCATTAAGAGGCTATACTTTACCTTGTGACTGCCAATGAAACTGCTCTTCTGCTGAACTGTAAAAAAAGAGAACACACAGGTATAATGCATTGATTACAAAAGAAAAGACTAAATTGTAAGACACAAAGGTGCATTAGAGTCGTAAGGGTGGTTGCACATCATTTCTTTAAATTCCTCACTGGAAAGACTGATTCCATTTTAATATAATCTTAATTTTAAGCCATTTGTTATATATCATTACCTGTATAATTCACAGGTATTAGCATGTTATATACGGGCATTATTCAGTAAGTTTTAGGAGAACATCTCATTAAAAAAATACCAACTGGCTCATTTAAAAAAATCAACTGGTTACACTTGTTTCTTACAACATACAATTTTACACAATTTTATTTATTTTAAAATAGGAGTCTGAAGAGTGTCATAGAGATGTTGTAATGTAGCCTAATAAAGGAAATACCCATCTTTTTCTTTTTTTTTTTTTTGGTAACGGGGATTGAACTTGGGTCCTTGCACTTGCAAGGCAGGCCACCGAACCGCTGAGCTAAATCCCCGGCCCTACCCATCTATTCTTATTAAAAAGAAGATAAAATGAATCTTTGCTTTCACGTTGACATTTCTTATGACCATTTCCTTTCAATTGATCATTATGGGTTAAATTATGTAATTTAAAAATAATAACACTTCACCACCAACTGAATATATGTTAACAACATTCTCACTTAACAATATATCATATAAAATAATCAACTAGGAAGCCCCGTTTATACATATGAAATGCCAATTATATTGTTCAGAGTGGAACAGGTAGGTGGCATGGATTTATTCTGAAGGTTGAATTAAACACAAAAGAGATGAATGGATTTAAAGTTTCTATATGTAAACAGTTTTTTATATATGCAGACACTTTCTACATAGTTCCTTTTAATACGTTAGTACTTCAGGAGAAATCTAACAGATACCATTTTGGGAATGGTTTTCTACACTTATTTCATCAGATCTTTTCCTCTGATCAAGCAGCCTGTATGAATAGCTCATCAGTTCCTCAGCAGCAAGTAGATTTTAGATCTTTAATCTGTACTTAAGAGGTGGCTTCTGAATTCATTTGCAGGAGAAAAAGGAAAATCTGGTATAAATCAATGTTCAGAAAAGCCATGATTGACATAAATGAATAAAAGAATAGTCCCTTAAGAAACACGTGACTTTTATAGGGTGTCTTTCTCCTAAGCCACCCCTTATTAACAAAGTGGAAGATGGTTTTACAATAATAAGAACTATAGAAAGAATTTACACAGGAAATGAGAACTTTACAAATGGAGTCCCATGAAACTCTTTCTTGTGTAAGAAAGATATAGCATTAGGTATGTAAAATTATGTCTTACTGTATAATAACCCTTAAAATAGAAATACTTAAAATTACATGACAGATTTACTTAGTAAGTGGCCTTTAATATATGGCAGTCCCTCTTAAAATCCAAGAATCACAACAGTAAGACTGAACCTTCCTCATCCTAGCTATTCAAATCTAATCATTATATTTCAAGGAGGTGAACATCACAATATTAGTGTTTAAACATCCATCTCATTGTTCATTGAAAAGGCTGAAGTAGAAAGTAGGCGTATTGGTTCCAAGTAATTTCAAATGCTTACTGTGTCAGATTCATCTGCAGCAATTTTTAACTATGTATTTATGTTAGGTCTCACCAGAAATTTACAAGATCGGAAACTTGATAGGCTGGGCTAACAATCTTCTGTGATGATCCTGATGTGTTGCTAACTTTGGAAAACACCAGAAAGCATTCCTATTAGTGATCCACTATGAATTCATAGATGGTTTATAATGTTATTCTTCTATATTTTAAGGCTGGACAAATTCTCAAGATGGTATAACATTCTAAGCGTGTATATGCCATGGATTTATTTAGGGACAGAGAATACTCTCATCTTGTAGTGGGCTGAGCAATGGCCTTATTTCCCTGAAAGATGAGTTGAGATCATAACCCTGAAATGTGTTAATGGTAACTTACTTGGAAAAATGATTTTTGCCGATGTAATTAATGATTTTCTGATGAGATCATCCTGGATTATCTAAGAGGGCTCCAGTTGCAAAGACTAATGCTTTTATAAGAGACAGAAGAGGAGACACACACGGGGAAGGAGGGCAGGTAAAGATGGAGACAGACTGGGCTGAAGTACTCGTGAGCTAAGGATTTCCTGAAGCCACCTGCAGGCCCCCTGAGTTTGAACCTCTGTCCTCTAAAACTATGAGAATAAATTTCTATTGCTTTAAGCCAACCACTTGTGGTAATTTGCTATGGAAGCCCCAGAAAACTGGTGTAACATTTTCTGATACAATCAGAATAATCTCATGTTAAATCCTCCATGATTTGCTAATTTCTCTCATTACTACACACGTTTACAGTGTAGCTATTTACTACTAAATGTTCACTGTATACCAAGGTCCTGCTATCTCACAACAGCCACAGATCACGTTTGTAGACAGGACTTAAACTGTTAGGCAGCTAGACCACACAGCTCTTAAGAGCAGAGAAGAGATTTAAATCAATCTGTCTAAAGTTCAAACTCCTCATTCCCAGTCCCCAGTTATGGTGGGAACCTCACTTAGGTCACAAGTTGCTGAGCAGTATGAGTAACTGGGGCGGTGGAAGTCATTCCCAAGGTGCAACAAAGTTCTGCTCTCCTTTCCTCCAGGCGCGTGGACAACTACACTGGCGCAGCTCAAAGCCTGTGAGCGGAAGGGCAGGTGTTTATTCTGTCGCTCTTCTTTAACTCTGTGCTGATATTAGTCCCTGGGTAACCACGAGGAATGGAGACTTCCACCAACCCACAAAGAATGCAGAGCGCATTCTTTAAACCATGAGAGACAAACCATGTTTGTATTCACACTCTGAAGCTGCAGTGCTTCTAAGTTCTGTAGACTAACGTGACAGTGACCAGACAGAAATGTGTGTGCATATCAGTCTCATTCATGAGGCATCTCCTGCTTCTTGACTTCTGTTTCCACAGCACAGAGCTGAACGAAAATGTCCTGGGAAATCCTAGTGTGAAGAAGGGGGAACCTCTGCTTTAGTTCATCCCTTGGGATCTGTCTACACCTCTGCAATAATGGGTGATTTTGTGTGTATGGCTTCATATCACGCTATTATATCAAATTTATTTTCCTTTTCGTTTCTTTCAAAAATATTTCAGTTTTATGATGTAACAGAAACATGAAGAAACATTTTTATTACAACTGGCAATGAATATAAAACTAACCTCTCAAAGCAGGGCACCTTCCTTTTGGGCAGACAAAAATCATTTATTATTTCAGTGGTTTCCCTGATTCCTTTCAGACAGTTAAAATGCGTTGAAAAGTATGACTGATCATCACAGAGAAGAGAAATCCCAAGAGAAAGCAAGTTTGGATTTTCTTTCTCTAATTGCACACTTCACTCTCTCTGTTAGGGGATTTATACAATCATATTTTATGCAATTGATTTCTTCCTTTAAAATTACCCTAAGGAAGATGCTCTTAAAAAGGCAAACAAATGATTCATATGATAAACATGAATCATGCTTTTGTCTCAGAACTCTCATACCAGGTGTTAGGAAGCACCTGTGATATGCCTTTGAGTTTTGTAATCAATTTAATATGCTATAATATAATTGAAGAGTCACTTTTGAAGCTGTCTAACTTCACTGCATATTAAATTTCAGGAAGCAAAGTTTGTGTGCATTGCTGCAATGCTGTTTCTTGAAATGGAAATCACCTCTAACGAATCAAATTTTAAAAAAGTGCAGATATTATTCAGCTCAGTATATAGGTACTTATACCCATGTGTGAACTGCAGTGCCTAGTGACTGTTAGGAAAACACAGATTAATAATAAGATGCCCAAAAATAACATTAACCCTTAAAAATATTCAGACATCAGAAATGTTAAGTAGGGATTCTAGGGAAATGTATTTAAAGCACAATTCTAAAGGCTAACACATTGAAGGCTCTCTCTTTGTACCAAGCAATATTCTAATGGATTTACAGTTCATCTTCATAACCAAAACGTTTTCTTTTCTTTCATACTTATTCATTTTTTTTATTGCTGAGTGGACCCTAAGATCTTCTGGATGCTGAACAGCCTACTGCTGGGCATGGCAAAACTTTGGAGAGAAGTTAAGTTTCCTGTTTTATGGAAAATGAAACTGAGGTGAGCAGATACTTAGGAAGTTGCCACAGGTCTTACCTCAGGCAAGTCATGGAAGCAGGAGTGTGAGCTTGATTTCCACATTCTAAACTTCCTAGTCACATATTTGTATGCATGGAAATTAAACTCTCATGTGACTAAAACTAATACTCTAAAAGTGCAGAAGAAAACATATTTTGAGAGAAGACATTGCTAAATGGATATAATTTACAAGAAATTCATTTCCAGAACATACATGTAACTCCTACAAATCAGTAAGATAGAGATTTTTAAAAATTAAATTAAAAGGTCAACAGTTGTGCACAGCTCATGTGTAACAGGAAAATCAAGAATGTGTGGCCACTGAACAAAGAATTGGAAGAATAAAAGTTTAACACAAGATATCTCTTTGCACCCTCAGACTGTCAAGGACTTTGAAAGCCTAACAGTACTAAGTTGTGATGAAGGGATGGAAGAATGACTCGTACATTGTAGGTAGGAGAGGGAATTAGATAAACATTTGGAAAATCCATAAGGCAATTCATGGTAATGTAAATCTGAATATTACTCGGCAGTTAAAATAAATTAGGTAGATGCAAATTACATGGAGTTCTCCACACTTAGATATAGAGAAAAACAATTCAAGTTGCACATAAGATATGTTCTGCAAGATCCCAATTACATGGATTTCACACTGACTACAATATTACTTATAAACACACATATCATATGCATATAAACATATGTTCTGAAAAGATACCAAATTAATGATGGTCATGGCCTGGGTGAAGGAGAAATGAGTCTGAAGAAAGAGTAAACTTCCTTTGACTTTAATGATTTTCTGAAAACAGAGAAAGTGACCTTTATTTGGACAAA